TTTTTTTTTTTTTCATCTTCTGCAGACTGTAAAAAAAAAAAAAAAGTCTTTTTTTTTTTTACCCTAATGTCATTTTGTTGCAACGAATTTCATCCGAATCCGAATCACGAAACAAAACGAAACAAATTTTTTGCTGGTGCACATGTCTACAAAGCAACATAATGAGGAGGGGTGACAACACTTTTCAGGGGCTGCAGATCTCCTGCACATCCTGTGATGGTGACACATAGGGGTGAATTTATCAAAATTGGAGCAGAGAAAATCTGGAGCACTTAGCCATGGCAACCAATCAGCATCCTTTTTCCGGTTTGTTCAGTTAAGATTTGAAAATGAAATAGAGAAGCTGATTGGTTTCCATGCACAGCTGCTCCAGATTTTCTCTGCTCCAGTTTTGATAAATCCCCCTCACAGGGTTTGGACAGGAACTGAGGGGCAATGTTCCCATTGAGGACACAGAGAACCCTAACCAGTAGAGGATCCACCTAGTCTACTATCCCATGTCTTCTGTTCTTACAGTTTCAGAATCTTGTCAAGGCCCAGACCACGTACATACGATCGGACTCGCTGGATTACAATATGTGTAACAAACCGCAGCCTCGGGAACAGGACACGGATGAAGTCTTTGGTATGGTTACCCGGTGGGATCCCTGGTGGTGGCATTCCTACCCCGAGAAAAAGAAGGACATTCAGAATATCATTCAGGTGAGTGGAGACTGTTGGTTATGTGTTTAGAGGAAGCTCTGAGATCTTGGGAAATGCTGAATAAAGTTTGACTTGCTTATAAGGACATTACATCAGAATACAGCATTATAGAGAGAACTTGCTGTATATATCATAGATATAGAGCATGCATAAGCATAGAGACTAACATTGTACTACAGCGCCATCTACAGCTCAAAAGACTATATTACATCTCTAATAATACAAATCAGTGTATGCTGTTGTATTTCCAGCACCCCTTCTCAGCAGCATGTGCGTTACTATATGACATTTAGCTTCTCTCGAAGGAAACTGTGACGATCCTTTGGCTCATGGCTTGCTCTTGACTGTCCAGTTTTTTATTTTCTTGGAGTGATTTTTTTCTTCTTCTGCTGCCATTGATTGGCTTTGCGTTTTGGTAATGTTTCTGTCTTTCCATGATGTCCATGATTCCCTTTGTCCCCCGAGTGGATCTTCTCATTTCAGGTTGTTCAGCAGAATGTAACATGGAACTTGACTTCCCCATTGTGAGCTCCGCCTCTTGTTCTGACTCCTGTGCGGCTTCACTTCCCGGGATGATTGTTCCTGGTGACGGGTTCTCATGGAAATAAACGCTGCGACTTATTGTCACTTTGTCGGTCTGCGGGTGGAGGATTCTATATCCATTAAGTTGTATTTTGAATCATAAGCATAAGCTTTACATACAAACACTCTGATGTGCCCTAGGCTAGGCTTCCATCCATGTTGTGACAGACTGAACCGTCACTGGTGCGGTTGGAGGAGCTACTGAGACCCCCAGAGCTGTATATACACTGAGACCCCCAGAGCTGTATATATACTGAGACCCCCAGAGCTGTATATACACTGAGACCCCCAGAGCTGTATATATACTGAGACCCCCAGAGCTGTATATACACTGAGACCCCCAGAGCTGTAGTTCAGGTCTCGGATTATCGGACGATGGAAGAATCAGACGTTGCGGTCTGACATCTGATCCAATAGTAGCCGAGGAGTGCCGGGAGAGCGGAACCGAGCGAGCAGGGGCTCGTTACACATGTCACATGTCACATGGGGTGCTTGCAATGGCTTCTCATGGTAGTATGTTCTGTAGGTATGTTGCAGTCATCTTCGGCTTCTTCCCGGTACTTCTGAGGTAGATTCTATAAGAGAGATTCTTCCATTCTGCTCCACCATTGTGTTCAGGAGTGTACGGTGCGGCGGTCTGGTGTACGGTACGGGGGTCTGGTGTACGGTGTTGTGGGACACTATTCCCCCCACTGACACCAATGACGGGGCACTATTCCCCCCACTGACACCAATGATGGGGCACTATTCCCCCCACTGACACCAATGATGGGGCACTATTCCCCCCACTGACACCAATGATGGGGCACTATTCCGGTATACTGCAGCCCGGATGGGGGTGTCTGTGAATCCCTGAAACGTATTTGCTCTACATTGTTGATCATTCAGTGTATTATCCCTCTAGTCTGCGTTGTCATCGGGTTGTTGTCCTTGCTTGTTGTTTTGTTACACATTTTGTACATAATTCCGTCGCTCAGGAAATGAATTCACTTCTGGAAAACATTGCCAAGGCCACGATTGAAGTATTCCAGCAATCTGCAGAGAATGTGTGCGCGGCTCCTGCCACCAATCCTCCCGCTAACAACAATGCTCCGACCAGCAACTCCGTGCCCAATTTCAAGGCTAAGCCCTT